GAGTTGGTGCCAGAGGGGGCAGCCAGACCTGAGGCAGCTGAAGCTGAGATACTCCCCTCACTGCCAGCAATGGAATAGGATTCTAATGGGGTGGGGAGGAAGAAAGGGGGTGATAGATATTGCTCCAACTCCAGACTCAGGATCCCTGGGAAGCTCTCAGAGTCTCCTCTCTAGGATGCTCAGCTCCTCTTCCCCAGGGCTCACTCCATTGCCATCCTCATTTGAGTTGGCCGGGACAGAAAATTTCACCAGGGCACTCTTGAGAGGAAGGACAGTAAATGCCTGGCTCCCCAGGCCTGGAACCCCTAGTAATACGTGGAGGTTCCCCTATATCCTCAGCATGGCACAGATATGGGGGTGGGGGCAGCCATCTGGGCAGACACTGGAAGCTGAGGGTGGCCATCTGCTCTCCTACAGCCCTCCCACTTCCAACTAGTACAGACCATTCTCTGAGAAGGGGGGTATAAAGAGCTAAGAGTGCATCTGCCACCCTCAGAACCCTCCTACACCAATTTCAGTAATCACTATAATAAAAAGAAAAGACTTGTGTAGACCACCTCCCCAACATGCAAGAACCCAATAGAGGGGGCAAGTTAGGTTATCTTTGGCCTGGGCTCAGGGACAGAGGAGCTGCAATTTTTGAGCAAGTCCCTGAGAGATCCCCATGCCTCATTTCTCCATCCCCCTGTCCCTCTTCAGAGCTGAAGTAGATTCTCAGCAAAATGATGTGAGGGAAGATGTGGTTCTAGGCCTACCGGGATTGTGGAGGGGTTTTTGTCATACCCAGCTTACTACAAGAAAGCCCTGTCCCTTCCCCAATTTCCTTAACTAGTTATAAATTTGGAGGCAGAAGGGATCTTAGGGATAAGCTATTAAGTATTTCCTGGAAAATACAGGTATAGTCTCCAGCTTCTAAATCCCTAGGGCCAGGGCAAACAGCAGTCCTGAACCCTCAGCCCGCCCCCAGTCAACACTGAGCCCTGGAGACCTCACACTCACCACGTCCCCCCCGGGCGATGCAGCAGCCGCATTTTGCCAGCACTTTTCGGATCACATGGGG